GCATCACCAAACGGGTAAGCCCTACATCATGTGTGTGTCTTCAAAATGGCTGCCTACCATGCCTGACATGGATGTTTTTCAGAACTTCATTTGTTTGTGCATATGAGGTGCCTTGTACCCGTAGCAGAGTGCATTTAATGATGAGGAACTCCAGGAAACAAAATCGGACAAGACCCTAAAATAGAGACTGTCCCACCGTAATCGGGACATTTGGGAGGCTTGCTTTAATTCTATACATTTGGTATCCATTTGCCAACACAATGTAGTAATGTCATGGTTAGACCTACAAAACAAGACTTTGACATAATTGACAGGATAGAGTCCCCTTAATTTGAGCCACTTGTGCCCAATTACGAGTTTCACCTTTGAAAACACACACTTGAGAGGCTCATTGTGCAAAAAGTCAGTAGATTATGAGTTATCAGTCCCAGATGATGCAAGATTGAAAATCATCTTATTCTGAGAGACACCGAAAAACTGCGTACATTCCTGGGTACTATATTCAGACAGGCCTTCAGTCTGGGTGCATCGATTATACAAAGTAGCAAGCATCGAGACACAGAGAATGGTTTAATCCTCTGAAAATAAAAAAATAAAAAAATAATCACATTCCTCTCTCATCTAGCAATCAGCGTTAACACTATCCTCCTGTGAGTTGGAAGCAAGCTTTTGCAGTTCCTTTCGTTGATTGGATTCATCCTGGGGTAAAAGGTGAGATTTTGTGCGTTTTCCCACTAAGCAAAATGAGACTTTTCAAAGCTAAAATGTCAGAGCAAGATTTTTCCACCAGTTGATGAATAGACTCATTGTTTAGCTAGGAATGTCTGCACAGTATTGTCCAGGTATAATTTTACAGCAACCCTCACCTTCCTTTTCCCTCTCCGTCCAACAATTCTTAAAACTATTAATAGATTTAAATTTTATTTTATTAAGATTTCTTCATACATGTCTCTTCTGTCGCTGTATGATATTTTCTTGGTTTCGGCCCCTATTACGAGAAAACCTTCACATTTGCAGCCATGAATGTGCGGCTACGACTGTGAGAAGACATTCAAAAGCACATTGTGCATCTATTCCCTGCAGATGAGACTCCAGACAGCTTGAATTTTCTTTCGTGCTTTTATCTTCTGCCAGGAACGTGAGGAAAAAAAAAAACTAAAATTGAGGACAGACTTTCTAATTTCTGCAATCCAAGCATAGCAGAATAAATGGATCTCTAATGGAGTCCACTGAGCAGAATTTTATTATTTGCTTAGAAATAAATCTTTATACTAGCGATATAAAGATTGCAGAGGTTTTAAACCAATTTTCTCATAATCTTTACACAACTGTTCGGGTAGTGGTTGGGTAGCTTTCTCTATGGGCTATAAACTTACTCTTATGAGAATTTTAGAATTATGAGGATTTTTTTTTGTACTGAAACACGAGTGATAAAAGTTTCTAAAACTTGTAGGAAGGTTGCACCTGAGCAAAGTCAAAGCAAATCAATATTTCTAACATGAAAATGTTTGCACTTGGGAATCCATAGTAGCCTGGCACAACTGAGTGTCCACTCTGTATGAATATGTGCCGGGGTAAAACTTGTCCCTATATTTGCCAAGACATTTCATTTACACAGATTATGGGGCAGCATATGTTAAATTATTAATATTAATATTTATATAGCACAAACATATTCCATAGCGCTTTGCAATTGCAGAATAGTTGACAATGTGTATTTGACATAGAGGATATTAACAGAGGCAAGAGTTAGATAGACCCTGCTCAAATTACACTCTATAAGGCAGATACATATCGTTAGAGGTCTTGCGCAGGAACGCTTACCGGTATGGTGGACTGACCGAGATTCAAACCTGAGTGACGTCTGTGTGATCCAATGCTACTTGTATGGAAAGAGAATGTCCTGTGCTTACATTGGGGACTGCTGGAGTTCGTAAGTTAAATATGATGGGTCATTGTAATTCATACCTCCATAGTGCCCTTATTTAGGATGGACAATCCTAATCCCTCTGTTCCTCTATACTCCCCTAATGTCCCTGTAGTCTACGCATTCCATATTGTTGGTGTGGCTGAGTGTATAACAGAGCTCCACAGCAGTAATACTCCCAGTAATATGTCTGAGTGTATAACAGAGCTCCACAGCAATAATACTCCGTGTAATGTGTCTGAGCATATAACAGAGCTCCACAGCAATAATACTCCCAGTAATGTGACTGAATGTATAACAGAGCTCCACAGCAATAATACTCCCAGTAATGTGTATGAGTGTATAACAGAGCTCCACAGTAATAATATTCCCAGTAATGTGTCTGAGTGTATAACAGAGCCCCACAGCAATAATACTCCCAGTAATGTGTGAGTGTATAACAGAGCCCCACAGCAATAATACTCCCAGTAATGTGTCAGTGTATAACAGAGCTCCACAGCAATAATACTCCCAGTAATGTGTCTGAGTGTATAACAGAGCTCCACAGTCATAATACTCCCAGTAATGTGTCAGTGTATAACAGAGCTCCACACTAATAATACTCCCAGTAATGTGTCAGTGTATAACAGAGCTCCACAGCAATAATACTCCCAGTAATGTGTCTGAGTGTATAACAGAGCTCCAAGGAATAATACTCCCAGTAATGTGTCTGAGTGTATAACAGAGCTCCACAGCAATAATACTCCCAGTAATGTGTCTGAGTGTATAACGGAGCTCCACAGCAATAATACTCCCAGTAATGTGTCTGAGTGTATAAGAGAGCTCCACACTAATAATACTCCCAGTAATGTGTCAGTGTATAACAGGGCTCCACAGCAATAGTACTCCCAGTAATGTGTCTGAGTGTATAACAGAGCTCCACAGTAATAATACTCCCAGTAATGTGTCTGAGTGTATATTTGCATATTTGAGAAACAGTAAACATCAAGTCCCCTAACAACCGCAATGAGACGAAAAGAGATGAAGCACAATAAAAGGTTAGGTTTAGCCAATAATTGACTCAGAGATAGACCAGTATCATCCGGCCAATCTCTAAGGTAGCGCAACCCCACCTCTATGTCCCAGAGACGAATATTTAAGTGCTGGAGATCTAGACAGCTTGGCGCCCTGCAATAAACGACATACCAGCGGATCTAGACCTACTGGGACTGTGAGTGGTGGAGCACTGTTGCCAGCACGGAGAATGGAGGGAATGCATACGCGCAGTGTGTCTGCCATGCTTAAAGGAACACGTCCACTACCATGCAGTTCAGATCCAGGAGCCAACTGTAGTAGTTCGGAAGATGGGGATTGGTCGAGAGGCAAACCGGTCCAGATGAAGTATTTCAACTCACGGAATACTGAAACGCTGAGCTTCCAGTTGCTGCAGTCTTGTCAGTGGCGGGACACAGTCTGCCGTCAGGTTGGTAATCACAGCATGATGTTGCGTGAGAGGCAGAACCTGTAGATTTCATTTGTGGCCTCCGTGAGGGCTTGGGATCTGGCTCTACCTAGGTGATTGATATAGTGCACCGCTGAGACGTTGTCCATGCAAAACAGGATGCAGCAGTTGGACATCTCTTTGGTTAGACTGCGAATGGTGAAGGACCCCGCAATCAACTTCAGGCAGTTGATGTGAAGATTGGCATCTTCGTCCCGCCAAGGACCTCCCAAAGAGAAATCCATGCAGTGTGCCCTCTAGCCCCAGAGGCTGGGGTCTGATTCCACTATGAAATCCGGATAGGAGCCAAAGATCGCTTTGCCATCCCAGGCTTTCATGTGTAGGAGCCGCCAGTGGAGCTCTGCCCTCACGTCCGCCAAAAGTGGTATCCAGTGGTCGTAGGACTTTCCGGAACATAGGCACCTTGCTTTCAGGCATTGTATGACTCTGTAGTGCAGTGGTCCTGGAAATATTGCTTGAATGGAGGATGATAGAAGACCCAAGATACGGGCGAGCATCCGGAAGGGAATTATGTCCATGCGAAGGACCCGTCTGATCTATTTCCGGATGGATGTTGGCTTCGAGGCAGAAAGATGCAGTGCACAGTTCACCAACTCGATCTCGAAACTGAAGGAATTAGACGGTCTACAAGAGGGAGAGTCTAGACTTCTGTCTATTCACCACGAAACCCAAGAATATCAGAAAGTGAACAACTAATTTTGGCTGCACTCGTAGCCTGGACACAGATTTGCATAAGATTAGCAAATCATCCAGGTATGCAAGACACTGCACGCCTTTGGATCGAATGTGAGCCATCACCAGTTTCAGCAGCTTTGTGAAGCACCACGGAGCTGAACTGAGACCAAAGGGCAGACGTGAACTGGCATGCTCATCCTCTCCACAGGAAATGCAGGAAGTGCTAACATTCCCATGCAACAGTCACAGACAGTTACGCATCCTTCAGATCCAGTCGGGTGAGCCAGTTGTTTTCGACTAGGAGGTCCTGAAATAGGTGTATCCCTTCCATTTTAAAATGTCTGTATACGACATATTTGTTGATGTTTTGGAGATTTCTAACCGGTCGGTAATCCCCTGTTCTCTTGTTGACTAAAAATATGTTGTTGAAGAACCCGTCCCCATCTGGCGTGTATTGTACTGTGCCTTTGGTGAAAAGGAATGGATCTCTTCATCCACGAACAGGTTGTAATCATGTGACATGTTTAATGGAGGTGTTAGGTGAGGTTTGGATGAGCTGCGAGTAGAACCCTATGGCGTAACCTTGCACTGTCTGTAGGATCCATGCGTCTCGAGTAATTGCTCTCCAGTTTTGCAAGAAAAGAGATAGGTTGACAGTGGTAAAGTTGGAAACCGGTAGGCAAGCAGTTAAACTCACCTGTAGAGAATTATCCATGACCTCTGCCTTTAGTTCCTCTGGCTCTGTCCGAGCCTCTGTAGTACGAAGGCCTATGTGTAGTGGTTAGGTAGAAATTGGATGGAGGAGGATAGGATCTGGAGCCTGTGGACCAGAAGCAGCTGGTGGCTCGGCTTTGTGCCGATCAGCCCTCTCAAAAACACCCCTGGACTGAGCGGACGCACGGTCGGTGAGCTCTCCACACAATATACCTAAAATCGCTGAAACACCGCTCACTGCCGACCACAGAAACTACAGACCGAGGTCTGAGGGTGCAGAGACCGAGCCGGCTATACTCCGCGACACTAGAGCGCACTGAGGGACCGAAGAACTGACTCGGTACGAGCGGCCTCTCGGAAACCGACCGGGAGGGGCGGCCGACCTCCCCATGGGTAACTGAGCAGACTCTGCGGCTACTCGAACCCCGTTTCCCCCCCCCCCGGACTGGTGGGGGTTATCCCAGTCCCAACTGATCACGCTTGTATTAAAGCTCACCACCCTAGCATCTGGCTTCAAAGCCGAGAGGCACTGCTGCATTTCTCTTTACCCAAAATGGCGACTGCCTCCCCTTGCAACACGTGGGGCCTGGGCTTCATGCAGCAATCCGCTCACAGCTACATCGAACAAGGCAAGCAGTGCCTGGATGAAATCTTTAATGCCTTTTGGGCCAAACTGCAAGCGAGAACACAGCAGCTAAAACAACAGCCCATACCAGAGTTAAGAAACCGCGCAGTGCTGAAGCAGGGGAACTCACCTGTGGGCAAAGAAGCTCCTACCCACACTTCAGCGACAAACCGCCACCACAGGCTGAGAACCTCCCGAGGCACAACAGGTAGACGCCGACCAAACCGGCTGAAAATCTCCAGTAGGAGCAACCACCCTCCACCAAGCTCCCACGGCCATCCCGGCAGGGGAGCAGGCTCAGCTCCCAGGCAGTCCCGAAACCCTGGACCCCAAACGCTGGCATACACCCATACCTGGAGATGGAAGGGAAACCTACCACAGCGCAAACAAACAAAAGAATACGCGGACCCACCGGACTGCGCCCAAACTTTTCAGCACCTCAGCACAGACCTGCTGCACTTGCACAGACTGGGAATAGGCTGAGGATCAGACCTACCCTGGGACAGTGTGATCGCTATGAGAAGTACTCATAAGCAGCCACCACACCCTGGACATTAACTGCCCCACTTGACGATCACGAGTATTCGCCCTTATGCATGCTGCTGGCTTGTGAGGGTGATTCTAGCTCTACATAGAGAAGCAGTATTATTTTTATTGTTTATTCTTTGTTCTTCCCTTTTCGTTTTATTATTCAATTGTACAGATACAGCTATGCTGGCTAATTACATGTCATTACATAATTTAACCTGATAACAGCCAGGCTACCAGCATGTACGGTTGGGAGATATCTCACCTCTATTAACGTGGTTGCCGGGTGGTTTACAGCTCACCAGTTTAACATTGTAATTTAGCTTTACAGTCTAACATGTTTTCAACATTATAAATTTTCTGATATACAGCTAAAAACAATCTGACTAAGTCTACAAACCTTGCTTACCTGCGCTATATGTTAGGAATCTTGCCTGCTTAAAACATACATTCTTCAGTTATATGCATATTTGACGTTATCTTTGAACATCACATGTTACGTTAAGCTTAAATACATAATTATAAAAATGTGCAACTTCCCATGCCACTGTCAATCCTATTAACATATATGCACGCTGTTGTGGCGTTTGATGTTAAAATGTACCTACCTGCACAACCAAAATAAAGAATTAAAAAAAAAACAAAAAAAAAAAACACCCCTGCTTGGTGGCGTGCAGAAAACTTGTTTAAGCAAGGATTGCTCCTTATTCAAGGTCGTAAACAGGTTGACGTACTTTTTCAATTAAGCAATAAAAGGTTCCCTGAATAGAAGACCCTTTTTGCCAGTGGGTCGAATTCTTTTGATCCTAATTCCAGTAACTTTGTGTCTATTGTCAGCAGTGCTGATTTGCGCTGTTTGCCACACAATGTGGCATTGGCCAGCTGGCAGATTGATCGTTGAGCCCATTGTCAGGAAGCATTGGGGTCTAGCGCCAGGTCAGCAAAATAGAGCATTTTTGCTATCGGTCTGAGCAGATCCAACAATTTAGCTTGTGTAGCTTTTAGTCCCTTCTCAATGCCTTTTCGTGGGTCATGGCTGGACTGAGATATAAAAACCACTACAATGGTATCAAACTCTGGTGTTATGGCCACTTTGTCAGGTAAGAGCACTCTTGGGCATTCGGTTCTGAGGTGTGCCAGAATTGCTTTCTCCATCAGTTTATGAAACCAGTAATGTACAAATCGGGCTAGGTGATCCGGGAGGCTCCATTCCGATGATCTCGGATGTCGCATAGTGTGAGGGTTGAATAATGGAATCCCTTGCTCATCTAGGAAGAGTCCGTCCTCGGTCCCTGTGGTCACCAGGTGTTTCAAGGTTTCCCTGTGGGGGTCATCTCCCTTCAGTACTGTTTCTCTGACATACTTAGAAGAAGTTTGAGGCAAGTCCTGCCATTCGTCTTCCTCCGATGCTGAACCCATTCGTCGAGCACATTCAATGAATGCAAAAGGTAGTAGTCACCCTCATCATCACCAGGAATCCAGGGTCCTGACGTTCAACCCGTTTGGGTCATTTGACGAGAGCTTTGCTCTTGACTTTAGATACGGATGGGCTATCCCCTTTCCAGTTGCGTTTTGATTTCGAAACCTCTGACTCTGATACTTCCGCCATGTCCAGTGACCGTGCTTCACCTTGGAGTTGGGGCAAAGCCCACAGCAGAGCCTTTTTCTACTAAGGTCGCTATTGCGGGATTTATCATAGCTTGAAAGTCTTGGGTCAGTTGTTTTATCCATGCTCAATTCTGTCCTGTGTAAGAGATAGAGGCAATCAGTAGGAGTATTGGCAGAGAAAGCAAGTCCACGAGGTGCCAAACTACTGGTACAACTGGGGCTCGCCCAGGGTCCTGGTAGCGAGTAATAATAGTCTCATAATATTGGGACTCACCCAATAAGACCCCTACGTGGGGTTTGGTACCCGAGAGTTGCTAACACTCTAAATAGACTCTCGGAGGCGTGTAATGGTAGTCGGGGCTCACCCCAGTTGTACTCAAGAGCTGTACCTCCGTGGTCAGCAAGAGTATTCTGAACAATTCACACAGGTATTAGTATATATTTGAGATACCATATAAGGAGTATATCCTTGTCTGCTTCAGCAGAGGGAGGTGATAAAGTGGGGGCTCACCCCAGGTGGCGTGCCTTGAAAACCCGAAGGACACCCACGTAATAGAAAATATACACTTGGCACAGTATAATATAATCCCTGTTCAGGGACAGATATGCAATTGTTATACTACACTCCTGTAATCTGAATTCCAGGTATATTGATATGATCCACAAAGGTTATAGAATCAGGAAGTGTGTGACCCAACAGTGAATTCTTTGTCCTCAAAGTCCAGACCGAGTGATTCCCGATCTTGAATGACAGAAATAAGATTGCTGCCGTGAATCTTGTGGTACTCAAAAGATTCAAGAAGGCCGCCGCTAGCACGCAATGGTCCTTTGGACCGTGGCAAACCACCAGTACAGTGTGTGTCTCCCGTAACCCACATCACCCCGTGCAGCCCCAAAGGCAGTTTCTCCTGAAGAAAAAAAAAATAAAAACAATTGAGCGCGAATGTGGCAATGTCGGCTTAAAGAATAAGGAAAACATAAGGCAGACCTGAGGGGAGATGCAATAAGGTTAGAAGGACAGATGTAGGGAGACAGGAGTGTGAATAAATCTGAATAACTATTATAAGACTAATATTACACAGTGAAAATTCATGAAGTATAAGGGAGAAAAAAAAATTACTCTGACCTATGCACAGCAGGAGCCGCAAAGAAAGAAGAAGGAGAGAAACACTGTCCTAAGTAGAAATAATTAAAACATAACTTTTAATCATGAGAATACAATAATAAATATGTGAACAACAAAATTATTCTTAGAACACCTATACTTGATGTTTACGGTTACTCAACTGCAGGAGTATCCTTTTCTATTTCCCGTCGCACTGTCTGATTCCGCCTGTTCCTCCTCTAGACCCCACGGTTGTGCGTGGTGAGAGCATTGATGTACATATAGGTGTTCTAAGAATAATTTTTTCTTCACATATTTATTATTGTATTCTCATGATTAAAAGTTATGTTTTAATTATTTCTACTTAGGACAGTGTTTCTCTCCTTCCTTGTTTCTAATTCCTAACCAGGGTTAACCCCTTCACTGCCCTATTGATTTACTCTACATTAAGCCCCCACTCCATTAAATTTTCTAAGAAAGAGGAAGGGTTTAAGCTGACAGGGACTTTTGTGTATCATCCTCCTTTTTTTCTGATTGGGTGTTTGTTTTATGATCTGGGCTGCTGGAGATTTTCAGTAAAGAGAGTTATGCAAATATGGAGACTCCAGTCGTGGTAAAATTATCATCTAAAATGTCTCAGAACAGCCCTGCCTTCGGCCACCCTCCCCCACATACACCCTTAAAATGATAGGCCCTTCTTTGTCCATGTGAAATGCTGGGAGATATGGAATAGATCGAGAATCTGTTGTCTGGGAGGAGAGTGAATTTATAGCATCTGTGATAAGACATTCTGCGATATCAAGAAACAGAAGTCAGACCTGGTGTTTGCCTCTCAAATGCATGTATATGGTCTTTGTGACTGAGCTGGAGCTTGGAGAGTATCTGTGAGAACCAATTTATAGGAGTCTGAGAGCAAAGTGTATCTGATATAAGAAACCGATCCGCTGGTTGTGCAGAACGATCCGTTGTCCGTGTATGGAGGGTAAAACTGAGTGTAACCATATGGAGGGGGTTAGATACACTGCATTTTGGTGTAAGGTATAGTTATTAAAGGACCACTAAAGGGTTTGGCCAGTCAGCGGAGCAATCCAGACGCAGGCAAAGTAAACGACCAAGCTTTTCTTAGATTTCAGATTTTAAAAGCAGATTCTGATTGTATTTCTGGACAATATTTAAAAGGATAACAATTCCACACACCAGGCAGCATCTGACCCTGGAAGCTTGTTTTAATATTCTGGACTTCCCTCACAGGCAAAGTAGCCAAACTTCCCTTGTCCCCCTTTAGGACCGGTGGAGGTTATCCTGGTACCCAACAGCTTTAATCTTGGCCTGGCTTAACACAGTAAGGACTCAACACCTTAACCTCAGTATATTCACTAATTTCACTTGGCGTAGTCTAAAATGGCGGACTAACATCTTGCGGTAAGCGCTGGGGAGCTAGGCAGACCCATCTCCACTTATTGTGTCCATTTAGCACCTTCAATCTCTTGTTTACCAAATTCTGGAGGGCTGCCATACCTTCATAACGCTGTAAAATATCACCTACCTGGTCCAGCAAACCACAGGTGACTCAAAGACCTCATGGCACTAGCTGCATGCTAAGCAGACCTCCTTACTTCACGCGACTAGCACCATGGGGAATTAAGCTACAATACTGCCATCACCCTTGAAGGGGCCACAGGAGGCTACAGCAATTCCAGATCAGGCCTAGTGCGTGAAACAGCTTGCTTGGATGGGCTAATGTCATCGTTTGTCCTGAAACCTGGAGGCTAGGTGGCAGCTACAATAATACCAGACACTAAATAAAAACATAATGTGAAGGCAGAGAAGAACCATTCGGCCCATCTAGTCTGCTCAATTTTCTAAATACTTTCATTAGTCCCTAGCCTTATCTTATAGTTAGGATAGCCTTATGCCTATCCCACGCATGCTTAAACTCCCTCACTGTGTTACCTCTACCACTTCAGCTGGAAGGCTATTCCATGCATCCACTATCCTCTCAGTAAAGTAATACTTCCGGATATTTTTAAGCCTTTGTCCCTCTAATTTAAGACTATGTCCTCTTGTTGTGGTAGTTTTTCTTCTTTTAAATATAGTCTCCTCCTTTACGGTGTTGATTCCCTTTATGTATTTAAATGTTTCTATCATATCCCCCCTGTATCGTCTTTCCCCCAAGCTATACATGTTAAGATCCTTTAACCTTTCCTTGTAAGTTTTATCCTGCAAACCATGAACTAGTTTAGTAGCCCTTCTCTGAACCCTCTCTAAGGTATCAATATCCTTCTGGAGATACGGTCTCCAGTACTGCGTACAATACTCCAAGTGAGGTCTCACCAGTGTTCTGTACAATGGCATGAGCACTTCCCTCTTTCTACTGCTAATACCTCTCCCTATACAACCAAGCATTCTGCTAGCATTTCCTGCTGCTCTATTACATTGTCTGCCTACCTTTAAGTCATCAGAAATAATCACCCCTAAATCCCTTTCCTCATATGTTGAGGTTAGGACTCTATCAAATATTCTGTACTCTGCCCTTGGGTTTTTACGTCCAAGATGCATTATCTTGCACTTATCCACATTAAATGTCAGTTGCCACAACTCTGACCACCATTTTTCTAGTTTACCTAAATCATTTGCCATTTGGCTTATCCTGCCTGGAACATCAACCCAGTTACATATCTTAGTATCATCAGCAAAAAGACATACTTTACCATCAAGTCCTTCTGCAATATCACTAATAAAAATATTAAAGAGAATGGGTCCAAGTACAGTATCCCTGAGGTACCCCACTGGTGACAAGCCCAAGCTCCGAATATACTCCATTTACTACAACCCTCTGTTGCCTGTCACTCAGCCACTGCCTTACCCATTCAACAATATTGGAATCCAAACTTAAAGGACCACTCTAGGCACCCAGACAACTTCAGCTTAATGAAGTGGTCTGGGTGCCAGGTCCTTCTAGGGTTTACCCATTTTTTTATAAACATAGCAGTTTCAGAGAAACTGCTATGTTTATTAATTGGTTAAGCCTTCCCCCAAAGCCTCTAGTGGCTGTCTCATTGACAGCCACTAGAGGCGCTTGCGTGCTTCTCACTGTGATTTTCACAGTGAGAGCACGCCAGCGTCCATAGGAAAGCATTATGAATGCTTTCCTATGTGACCGGCTGAATGCACGCGCAGCTCTTGCCGCGCCTGCGCATTCAGCCGACGGGGCGGAACGGAGGAGGAGAGAAGGAGGAGAGAAGGAGGAGAGCTCTCCGCCCAGCGCTGGAAAAAGGTAAGTTTAAACCCCTTTCCCCCTTCCAGAGCCTGGCGGGAGGGGATCCCTGAGGGTGGGGGCACCCTCAGGGCACTATAGTGCCAGGAAAACGAGTATGTTTTCCTGGCACTATAGTGGTCCTTTAAAGATTGCAGTTTATTGATAAGCCTTCTATGTGCAACAGTGAAATAGGGAGGGTAACTATATAACGTTTGTATTCCTACGGTGTTCCTTTAATGAAATCTTGTATTTCCTTAACATGTAAGGTATATATTTTATTTCCAACGATCTAGAAGCAGATACAACAAAAAGTCATCTCAGTGTTAAACTGTAGCCATAATAATAATAAAAAGCCAGCATACATAAAAGAAACCGTAATTTATTTAAAGAGGAGTGGAGTAGACATTGTCTCTTTCATTTAACTTTTAACATAGAAAAATATATTTTTCTTCTTGCAGTGACCTTAAAGTTTTCATTAATCTGTCAATAAACTCTTATTTTGGGGCCCACAGTCTTAGAAATTGAAACATTGTGTAAATAAAGCAAAGCGGGCCACAGTGACGAGTGATGGGGAACATGAAAATTCATCACAAAACCTAAAAAAATTTTTTTTTTTTTGTGAAACGCACACTGCTTTGATCCATAATCAAACATTACAACCCTTTCCTTTATATATATATTGGTAAATTGTAATAAACATTCAGGGAAAATCATACAAATATTTGCGATCTGTGAAAACTTGTTAAGGCCAATACGTTGCATATTTTCTGCATTTATGGTCTACCTAACAACCATTTTCACTACGGTAAATTAGTAACAGAAGGGAAAGCAGTGATAGCCTAGCGCAGGCATAGGCAACCTCCAGCACTTCAGATGTTTTGGACTACACCTCCCATGATGCTTTGCCAGTATTATGGGTGTAAGAGCATTATGGGGGATGTAGTCCACATCATCTGGACTGCCGAAGGTTGCCTATCCCTGGCCTAGCATATGGACACGGGGTAGATGATCTAGTTGAGGCAGACAGACACAGAATAATGCATGGTATGTATCCCATTTATCAGACTCAAAAAACAAAGGTTGTGTTTTTCACAAAGCTCATGGCTCTACTGAACCAGGCAGTCATAGATCAGAGTATAGAATGGGGGGACTTTAACACCGTTCTTGACTCACATAGGGATAGATCCTCGAATCGTTCTGCTGGTTAGGTTGTCTCATCTTGCCACCTCCTGTAATCTTCACGATCCATGGATGATTCCACCTGGTAAGCTCAACAGTACTACCATACGTAACTAAAACAACCATAAACCCTACAATATCAGAGCATGCCCATGTCACACAAACAATATCCTGTTTATCTTCTCCACCATTTACTACTCATTGGCATTTCCCATCCTATCTAATGAACCACCCATCCTTTCAAATTCACTTTCAGTGTTGGGCTAATTTCATGGACCACAACCTAGAACATTATTTATTTATAAAATGTTTTACCAGTTAAGATACATTGAGATGTCTCTTGTTTTCAAGTATGTCCTGGGTCCACAAAACATTGCATTGATACAATAGGGTACAATAAAATACAAAAACAATATTAATACACAATCTAAAAAAATTAACATAGAACAGATAGGAAATACATTTTTTTGAGGTATGTAGAGAGGGATGTCTTAAAGGACTTTAGGCTTGGGGAAGATTTGAAAGTGTGTGGGAGGTTGTTCCATAATTGCGGTGCTCTGTAGGAAAAGGAGGATCGGGCTGCTTTCTTTTTATATAGATAAACCTAAACTTTTTTTTAGGAAACATCCAAAGAAGTTATGAGTAGACAAATAATTTCATACTCAGTCTCGGCAAAGAAAGGCGGAAGGATTTCACTACAGTAGAAAGGGATCTGAAAAACTCACAGAACAAATTTTTCTGACACCTCTGCTAAACATACACATATCAAGAAGCAAAATGTACTTTGAACACTTTCATAGGGAACCATGCACAATCAAAACTGGACTTCCAACCAAAAACCCCCTGTTCAGATGGGGTGGAAGGTCCGGGAAATTGCTAACCTAAAGCAAATTAAAAACCATAACAGCAATTGTTTCCCCTCCTCCGACAGTCATAGACATACCTTCCATGCAACCGTTATCAAAATCTTCCATTACTATTTTCAATAAATAGCCAAAGGACACTCCGGGCATAGACTTCCTCAAACCACTGCAACTAACATCTAGATGAGGACTTCAGGTACCTCCTTAAAGAACCCATTACAGAAAAAGAGATACAAGTAGCCATCAAATCCATTAAAATCTGGCAAAGCACCAAGACCAGACACCATAGAAGATTATAAAATCCTGAAACATATTAACCCGACCTTAAAGATGTTTTTCAATCAGATATACCTAGACGGGCTCTCTGTGGACTCCTTTAATCAGGCACGTACAGCCCTTCTTCCAAAACCAGGCAGGGACACAGAAGCTCTAACAGCATATTGCCCAATATTGTAACTTAACCTAGACTTTAAATTTCTTACTAAGATCATAGTAACGAATGTGCAAACGTTATTACCACGGATACTCACAACTCATCAACTGGGTTTTGTGGTGGGATGCCAGATGGTTACCAGTGCCTGTAGAACACCGGCTACAGTGGATGGGTGAACTATGCTTCACCCTCACTTATCAGTCTCAATATCAAAGAAGCCTTTCATAGCATCTATTTCAAGTGCTAAACCTAAGCTACTTCGGACACATTCATAAACTTTAATAAAAATTAGTATGAGCACATGGTCACCACTACTCTTCAACTTGGCAATTAACCTATTACGGGCTACTGAAACCTTACAAAGATTCCAGGCCATCCCAACAGGCAATACTACCTTAGAGTATCAGCATTTGCAGATGGCCTACTAAGTTACATGATGGAACAAGCTCAGTCTCTCTCACCTCTCCAATACAGATTCATTGGTCCCATCCATGCACAGATTAACCAGGAAATTTCCTCTGAAATGGCTACCACTTGATCTTACATATGTGGGGATTAAAATTCCCAAACAGATCTCCCTCCTTTACAAGTTAAATATTCCGACATCCTTTCATCTATTTTCCAACAACATTGGTAAAAAAAAAATAAAATTAAATAAACTACCTCTATCGTATATAGTTAGAGCTTGTTTATGAAAATTAGCTTCCAAATATGGTTATACCCCTTGCAGGTACTTCCACTTCTTTCCAGAAAAGACAAAAGTTTTTTTATACAAGACGGTAATGCAATTCTTGTGGCAAGGATCAAAAGCCCGTCTTACGTTGACTACACTACACAAATTAACACAATAGTCTGGATCCACGCTCAACTATTTTCAGGCGCACGCTTGTAATCACTTGGTGTATCCTGGCTCATTATTGCCGCTTGGGCTATTTCGAAACCCTCTGTTGGCTTTCCCTATTAAAGGGCATGGAAACTACCTTATTTCAAATCAGGAGCCAAGCCCTTATAGTCTCTACATAGACCCATAATTAACAAACCCTGAATTTCATAAGGGAGCAAACCACTAACCCGTCACAATTTGGGTTAACTGTGGAAGTCACATAATTCGTTCTTTCAGTTCTCTCCCTGGAGGATAGTGGGGGGCATTTCACAGACCTCCTATTACCAGGGTACACATACTTTCAGGTGCAACATTATTTCCACACAGTTACACACTTTACTAATGCAATTTGGGAAAACCCCTGGGATACTCTATGATGCACCTCAAACACTGCCTTGTACTCCATCTCCAAACTATACACCCTCATAAGATATACTCCAAACTGGGACATGATATAAACATGATTAGGTAGATAAACACATTTTTCTGATGTCAGTCCAGCAGATATCCTCCGTGCGCACCACACTCAATGCCAACTATTACCCATGGTCTCCCCGAGACACATGCTCTTAAAATCCATTATTTACACCTACTATTCTCCACATCACTTATTTCAAATAAAAATAAATATAGACTTATAACACGGTCTGTGTGAGTGTGGCCTAATCAAGTCCTTTTGGGGGAACATAAATCACAACATTCCCCTCTCTTTGCATCTTAAACCAGGGTTTTTGGTAATGGGGACCATCCTGGGTAATTCAATACCAAAAAAAAAAAAAAAAAAAATTTAAAATAGTTTTTAGCAACCATAACAGCAGGTTTGAACAACCCTGGAGTACACAGCCTGGTTCTCGATGTAGGGGGTATTTAGTCACCGTCTTTTACAAATACATATATTAAAAAAACGCTCTCTCCACATATTCAACACTGCTACGGGTACCCTGTGGGCCGACAAATGGTTACAGTTTCTTAGGTTTGGCCCACCAGCTTTATCATTAACAGGACACGTTTTGGTTCATGGCTTATTGCTCATCCTCAAGTCCGGGTAACTGCTCCACCTTACATTTTACAAGAGGCTATAAAGACCTGATTTCTAGAATGTGTTACTTATGCGGGGAGGGAGAAGGGGAGAGCATACGTATCAGGACACTGACACGACGGGCTAAACATTAGAAAGAATGAGTTTAAAGTAGAGTTCCCCCCCCCCCCACACCATTTCCTTTCTTCTCTATAATTAAGAGTATACATTCAAAAGGTTTTGAAGTGTTGAATTATGTATAAACCTGTTTACCACATCTTTACCCAACTGCTCCAAATGTCAGAAACTCCCATAACACACAAAAAAATACATTTAAAACAAAAACAAAAAAAATAAAACACATTGCATTTTGCATCACCCAAGAAGTTTGCCTTTCTTCCTGTAGGCCTTTATTTAACCCCTTAAGGACCAAACGTCTGGAATAAAAGGGAATCATGACATGTCACACATGTCGTAAAGCGCTACGGAATCTGTTGGCGCTATATAAATGGCAATAATAATAATAATAATAATGTCATGTGTCCTTAAGGGGTTAAAGACTTGCTGGGAACCAAAATAAAAACATTATCTGTGTCAGGATACATATACAATCCACAACATTTGAAGGAGCCTTAACCCCTTAAGACCGGAGGGCGTACTACTACGCCCTATTATAGGCGGCTCTAAACGCCGCACGTAATAGTATGCCCTCTGGTCTTTCTGTACTTACCCGGTCGCCGGCGATCACGGTTGGGGGGACTCCCAGTGAGCCCCCCAGCGGCATGTCCGACCCCCTGGAAGCACCCCCGGCCATTTGAGAGTGAGGTCCTTGCGAGGACCTCACAATCACATGGCTGGGTAGGCTGCCTGCTGCATTGCCAGCAGGGGGGCTGCCTCTAATGACAGGTGGTCCCCCTGCTGGCTAGAAATAAAATTAATAAAAGTTTATAAGTGTAAAAACAAAAACAAAAAAATATATACTTAGATATATACACATATACATACACACATATACTGTCTAGGTGTATTTTACTATTAATATATATATTAATATCAAATTACACGTAGACTGATACTGATTAAATATATATATATAATCTAAAAAAATGAAATAATGTAAATACGTAAAAAAATAAAAAAAATAATAAAAACAAAATAATATATAGATGTGTGTTTTCGTTTTAACTGTATTGTGATATTAATATATATATTTATATCAAAATACATGTAGAACGAAATATATATCTACATACATAAATATATACGTATATATCACTATATATAAAAATATTTTTAAAAAATTATATATACACACACACACATATATATAGATTCACATACACACATTAATTCTACATATATTTATGTAATATTTTTACATAATTAGGTATCTTAATTAATTACAATTAGCGGGACCTGCCTGACAACCCATGCCGAGAGTAAAGGGAATTTAATTTGCTAGCACTATATTTAACCCTATAACTTTCCAAGACACCATAAAACCTGTACATGTAGGGTACTGTTCTACTCGGGAGACTTCGCTGAACACAAATATTAGTTTATCAAAACAGTAAAATGTATTACAACGATGATATCGCCAGTAAAAGTGACGTTTTTTGCATTTTTCACACACAAACAGCACTTGCACGGACGATATTATTCCTGTGATACTTTTTACTGTTTTGAAACACAAATATTTGTGTTCAGCGAAGTTTCCCGAGTACAACAGTACCCCTCATGTACAGGTTTTATGGTGTTTTCAAAAGTTACAGCGTCCAATATAAGGCTTGCGTTTCATTTTTTTCACATTAAAATTCGCCAGATTGGTTACGTTGCCTTTGAGACCCTATGGTAGCCCAAGAATGAAAATTACCCCTATGTTGGCATACCATTTGCAATAGTAGACAACCCAAGGTATTGCAAACGGGGTATGTCCAGTCTTTTTTAGTAGCCAATTAGTTTAAATGACGCTGATGTCCTCACGCTATGCATGAGGACCTCCAGCGTCACCGGAATCCTCATAGGAAAGCATTGAATAATGCTTTCCTATGGGGAGATCTAATGCGCGGCCATTGCTGCGCATGCACTTTAGGTCTCCCCCGCCGGCTAATGGCTGTGGGGCGTGGGTGGAGCCTGACGGGTTTGTTTTCCTGACACTGGAGAGTCCCTTTAAGGATTAAATGCTTAGAATCGGATATACAACTAAACATTAAAAAAAAAAAAAATTAGGAAACCCAAAACATTTTTAGAGAACCATAAAAAGACTTCAAAAGGACAACGGAAAAAAAAATTATAAATATAAAAGTTTATTCAGTATAGTGTTTAGAAAAATAAGTTCACATCATTTCAGAATAAAATAAAACTTGTCCAGACATCAATCCCTATTACAGTACAATGAAAAACAAACAGATACCTCTTTGGTAGGGCGACTGCAAAGAAATGTTTTGTGACATTATTTGTACCATTAAACAAAACAACACAAATATAATATATATAGAAATCCCTCCATTACAGTTATGGTTTGACATTTGTATAATCATAAGGCACAACAAGAAAATAAAAAATAAATAAAGTGGAAAAACATGCAAAAAAGGCTGCTTAAAATGAAACAAATCCAATAATTAGACATGCATTGTATTTGTTTTGGGTTAATGTGGGAGAGACCCCCACCCCCACCATTACAGATATATTTTGGATAAGAAGAAATATTCAAGTTGAGAAGTTTTAGGTTTCTTTAAGAGTTCTGATTGTACTTCCAACCTTCCCCAAGGCACATCATGCAAGTGCTGTGTTGGTTACAGAAACGTCAAGTCGACAAATTTGTGAACATTTGTCAATGTTGTAGAAAGTTTTTCTAACAAGCAGAGGCATTAACACTAAAGAGTATTATGTATCTAATTATATATTGGTTAATGCAGTTTCCATGCAATAGTAAAACAAAATGCTTAACTATTAAGTAAAAATGGTAAAATAGTGCAAACTCTAAATCCAGGTTTAAAAAAAATTAAAAAAAATTACAAAATAAAAAAAAAAATATGTAGTGTTTAACGGCAACAATTTTAAAACAGTATGGTCTTGTGGAATTCATGAAAATTATTTCGTAAAAAGGCTTGATTGTCTATCCCTTTGTATGGAGTGTGTTTACCATGTGCTTGGTTTATATAAAAAAAGTAAAACTGTCCATTAAAATGAAACGTCAATATCCGCATTTAAGGATACAATCTTTGGAGAAATTATACTAGCAAGAGCTTTAAACGGATATATAAACGAAGGTCTACTTTTCCACTTTACAATGTGCTTGCTACAAAAACAAATGGCCAACAGGCCAAAAGGCACAGGGGAATTTAGAAAATAAAGGTATATTTATACATGAATATAATTATTTATATATATATGAAAAAAAAGTAGAACAAAACACAATAGCAATAATAAAGAACAAAAATTATGAAAATTAATGATATAAATTTCAGGCTGCATTTCATGAACAGTCAAAGTACATCTTTTACGTTCCCTAATCGCTAGTCTTCCTGACAGCAATCTGTTTTATTTACATTATTTCCCAATTAATAGTTTTCAATCTCTGATTAAAGCGCACATAACCCTGGCAGCTCCAAAGGGAGGATTTTGAAGCAAACAGGTAAGTGGGGGAGGAGAATGAGGGAGGGCGGAGGGACAATAATTAGGCAATAGTTGCAAGAAAATCGATAAAAAGGCACAAGCCAGGGTACTACAGTGCCTATGGAACTCTCTCTAAATATCTCCAATGCTTAAAGAAAAATAAAAACAAGGAGTTTTAAGAGTACCTAAAATTGCTTAAAAAGGTGGTCAATCAATTTAAACCCTGAGTGCAAAATCTGATGTTGCAATACGGGGCAAAATGTTGACTTCAACACCACTGAAGTAGCTTGTAATTGTTTCACTTAAGAAAATAATGTAAAATGTAATGCTTTCAGGTATAGAATGCATATATTTGAGGATTTAAAAAAAATAAAATAAAAGGTCTTGCATATATATTGTGCATTACTAGAAGCAAAATGTCTAGTGTACAAAACCTTAGGTCATACATTCCATAGTTTAAATTTATTTTCACAATAAAATTGGATAATATCAGCAAGGCTTCTTTACTACTACAAAAAAAAAAAAAAAGGGTTACATTTTCAATGTAACATTTGGATGTGTACTGAAATAAAAAAAAAGAAACAGAAAAATTTATATTTTTTTCACAAACATTCTATATACACACACGTGTGTGTGTGTGTGTGTAGGTATAGCGTATATTTGTGTAAATAATTTTTTTTTTTTTTTTTTTTAAATTCGGGAGTTTGAAAGCAGCTCATTTTTAGTGTTCGGACTATATATACACATTTCCAGCATAACCCAAATACAAGAACAAGGGGGGAAAAAAACAAACAAAAACAAAGCAACTTGTTCAGTACCTCTTCCACTTATCCTTTCACCATTGGTATAAACGGTCAGACCACTGTCAGGTTTATTAACTTGTGTTCCCTTTAATACCCATATTTCACGGTTTATCCTTTGGGATTGTGTGAAAAACGGCTTTAGGAAAACTGAATTTCAAACCCTCGTGAATTAAAGTAACTGCCATTTTATCTTTCTTACAGAAACAATTCCTAACAAAAATATATTACATGTCATGCATATCTTCATCCATCTGAACATTCTGAAGCTTGGCCAATTCCTTTTTGTCCGTTTCGAGTTCCTCGCAGGTAGTATTTACCATGTTACTTATCACGTACTTTGATTTTGCATCCAGCAGCATGACGCTCCCACTTATTGTAGTGTTGTGAGAACTGGGCAGGTAATTTTCTTTCGTGACTGGCACAGACTGCAAAATCATGCTGTTCCGACTACCAAAATCCTGATGGACTTGTGTTTCAGGATGGCTACCATTGTTGCTACTTGTAGTAACAGATTCCCCCAGAGAATGCTGTGCTTGAGAAACAGACAGCAGATCTTGGGTCGTGATGTAGTGACAATTAGAAAGAGGTGCAAAGTGAGCACTACTACAGGACGTCACACTGGTTGTGGTAGCCGCAGAGGAGGAGATTGACTGGTTCAGTGTTGTGGACTGATTTCCAGTAATAGAAGCAAGATGTCCAGAAGCAGTTATTAAGGTAGGTGACATCAGTGAAAAATTCTGTGCGTTAGTTCCATTTACAAGGGAGGCTGCAACAGACTGAAGAGCGTCTTCCGAAGACATGCTAATATTTACTTGTGTTGCGTTGTGATTGACAGGCATTAGCGGAGAAAAAACAAGGCTTCTTTCTAGCCCGTCTTGTTTGATAGAATGCGGAACTGTGTAGACTACTGTGCTAGGTGTGATGGAACTAAGGAACACCTTACCCTGATCACCACTTGAGATGGTGTCACTTGTAAACGTTCCCCCATCTGACGTACCAGCAGTGACCGAAAGGTTACCTATAAGCAAAAAAAAAAACATTTCAGAAAAGGAAAAGACCAACAGAAAATCAGCTTCCCAAAATGAAACATTAAAGTAGAGGATGACTACCATCACAAAACATCAATGAATGCAATAACAAAAACGACTCACAAGTAACAAAGTATATCAGGTAGACTTGGGTCAAACAGTGAAGTGTGGTATAGCTAGTAATATTCCATTGTGTTTGCTGTACATTTAGAAAGAAAGCCTTGAATATCACTTCGTACATATGGAGGAGATTTTTTTTTACACAAGAAACAATGGTCAGCAGAGTCTAAATCAGACATGTCTGCTGCATACTATTTTAGTAACTCACACCAGATGCACTGCTCATATTTCAGAACGAAAAAACCATCCCAAAAACCATTATGTAATGGCTGATTCTCAAATAAGGGAGATTCATCTTTCGGTCGTTTTTTCAAGTAGAGGTTAACACAGTAAAGGAGTTTAAGCATGCGTGGGATAGGCAGAAGGCTATCCTAACTATAAGATAAGGCCAGGGACTAATGAAAGTATTTAGAAAATTGGGCAGACTAGATGGTCCGAATGGTTCTTATCTGCCGTCACATTCTACGTTTCTATGTAAGTCGTTAATCAAATCAACAGATCTCCATGCTACTGCTGGTTTAAACTCAGAAAAGGCATGGCAGCATGTTTGGGATGTGGCTTAGAGTTGGGGTAGCTGACAGGGCCAGGCTAAGATAATAAACCAGCCTAGTACATGTATAGGTAACTTTCGGCATTCCAGATATTGTGAACTATATCCCCCATAATGCTTTTATAGCATAGCCACAATGCTGGCAGAGAAATAGGGGAGATATTATCCATCTGGAGTGCAGAAAGCTGCCTGTACCGTGCCTAGTAAAATAATTAGTTTGTCAGACGCCTATTCCCCAATATAAACCCAAAACGATATATACAACTGCATACACTCTGATAAATACATAGGATTCTGATAGCATGCTGATGATTTGGGGGTTGGGGGGGAGGGGGGGAGAGAAAGGAGGGCAAGGGGACATCCTAAATTAGTTTGCAAAATCCTGCGTTTAGCTTTTTTGATCACTTTCAACATTTTGGCTTTGCTGTAAAATACTTTCTAGCTTAGTTTTGTGCCTTATTTTTTCAGATAGGAGAAAAGACCGCTGGCAACAGTGGGGCATGCGTAAGCAATGGGTTACTGTACACCACTGACTCTCGAAGGCAGCTACAAATTACCATGATAGCCATTATAACAGAACTAAAAGCAAGGCGGTGCATTACTGGCTTCAAACCTGTAGCTTATCTACTGGTTATCTGTGACTTAAAGGACCACTATAGTGCCAGGAAAACATACCTCGTTTTCCTGGCACTATAGTGCCCTGAGGGTGCCCCCACCCTCAGGGTCCCCCTCCCGCCCAGCTCTGGAAGGGGGAAAGGGGGAAAGAAAACTTACCTTTTTCCAGCGCTGGGCCGGGAGCTCTCCTCCTCCCCGTAGTTTCTGTGAAACTGCTATGTTTATAAAAGAATGGGTTAAGCCTAGCTGGACCTGGCACCCAGACCACTTCATTAAGCTGAAGTGGTCTGGGTGCCTAGAGTGGTCCTTTAAATGGAATATGAACATTAAAACTTGAAACACTGTATTAAATTGCTACGCAAGTACGGATTTTCTCCTTCCACAGGGTTTAAACAAAATCGACAAAGAACAGTAGAGCCCCAGCTGTTTTTAAATGCAACTGACGTTCTGCCATCCTTTAATTCTACAACAAATCCAAGTAAAGGTGAAGAGCAGTGAGCACCAACCCACACCAAATTCTATCTGCGGGTTAAAAAAAAAAATAAAAAAAAAAAAAATAAGGAAATTCTGGTGCAATAGTAGGATTTTTCATTCCACTAAATTCCATCTAAGCTGTTCGAGTTTGTTTTCCAGATATATTAACTCAGCAGCAAGTAAATGCAAAACAATAAAAAGCAAATATTAAAGGGAAGCTCTAAACATTAAAACCACTTTGTTTACATTTGCAAGACTGCAGGGGCATTAAGATAGTGAGATATATATACATCTATATGGTTTCAAATAAAGATTTAATAACCAAATTTATTTCACATTCGGCGTCCATATGCTGGACACTAAGTGCCCAATTTTTCCTTGCATAGAAAGAAATACATATAAAATATAGTTTTAAACAAAAATAAAATACACATTATACGCGTGCGCACACCTATACAGATATATTTTTTCTTTTAAAGATATAGAACAATACAATGAAAGTCACAATATGTTCCCTGTGTTTATCCGCTCTTGGAATGCAAAAAAATAAAGTTGATCTAAAGATTTCTGAAAGCTGAACTCAGTGACAGTGTGAATGAAATAATCTTACAACAGCCAATACCTTGCAAACCAATAAAACAGTTCATCATCTGTTTTTTCTATTCATCAAGACATGGGTCTTAATTTACCAAAACCTTAAGCAGTTCTGGGCTACCGCTTTTAGAATGCAAAACTAAAAGTATCCAGTACTTTGTACCCCACCTTTCTCTGAAACTGGTTAAAAACACATCAAGACAAAAAGCAGTTTGGTAATTACTTGTTTTACATAAATACATATTGTTAAAAATAAAAACACAAACTTACAAGGAAAAGCATCTCCATATATCATAAAGAACACAAAGAACATTAATTATATTATTTAGATTGGGCAGGTTACTTTTTATCTCCAGTGTTGTCCAAAATCAACTTTGTAGACTTGGGAATTATAAATAACATTAATTTCATCAATATTTTTACAACAGAAACTCTCTTTAAAAGGGACACTATAGTCACCCACACCACTTCAGCTCAATGAAGTGGTCTGGGTGCCAGGTCCCCCAGGTTTTAACCCTTCAGATGTAAACATAGCAGTTGGGCCGCTAGAGATGCTTCTGCGACGCTGGATGCGAAAACCGCATCCAGAACATCCATCGGAAAGCATTGAGAAATGCTTTCCTATGGACAGTTTGAATTTGCGTGCGACTCTTGACGCGCATGCCGCTCCACTTGGGAGCAGATGTGGCCGGGGGAGGAGGTCACCAGCGCTGAGGGATGCCGGCGCTGGATTAAAGTGCCAAGGGAGGGGGGCCCTGATGAGTGTTTTCCTGACACTCTAGTGATCCTTTAAGGACCAATAAAATTTTATGCTGTTCTCTCAATCTAGTTCCACGTGCTAGTATAGCATATTCTACTTATTTAAAAGAACACTATAGGCACCCACACCACGTCATATTAATTTAGGTGGTGTAGGTACCAATTAACACACCCCCACCTCCCCCATTTTAACCCTGCAGTTGAAAACATTGCCATTCTGTAGGGTTAACCTGCCAATGACTGGAAAACATAACTGCTACAAGATGCACTTCTGTGAAAGAACGGCATAAACCTCCACTATTTACAAACCGAGGCAAGACCATCATTGGAAAGAGCACCACACCGTGGGAAATAAAGGTAAGTTAACTCTCGAGACATTAACGTTAATCCCTCGTGGAGGGGACGAATTATTTATAGTTCTATACAGCTATGCTTTGTTTTGGTACCCCCTCCCCTCAAAATAAATATATTTATTTTTTTAATTTAATTTACTTTCTTTTTTTTGTGTGTATGTGCAGTCTGTTGGCTTGGAGACGTCTCCAGTATATCCTTTAATCACTTTCAAGACATTGATTTTAACAGTGTTGTAGGTAGACAAGAGCTGATAACACACTGACGTGTGTTTTTAAAGAGTACTTTCTGCAAGATCAGTCCAATTAATTATTGAGCCCCTGCCAAATAAGCCACGGTTTAATACTATCATGTGAAAAGGGAACAGAAGCAAGAGAGATAATATAGGAACAGAAGCAAGAGAGATAATGTATAAGAAAACGGTTTTAAAAGTTATTTAATAATATATTAGGTAAACTAAGCAAGACAAATTATTACATTTATACAAAATATAAAACAGAAAAAAAAATGCAAATAAAAAACTAATCCTATAGGTTTATGAAAACCAAGACATCCTCCTAACATGTGGTCTACAGTAACTGTGGATAGACTGGCATTCAGGCATTCCTTAAGGAACTACTTTCTGTAGTGGGAGAGCACACAGACTTTTCAAGAACTTGTAACATCTTTCCCAGAATCTCTCCAATGTTGGCCACCTCACTTCGTAGTCCATGGAGTTCAGCAGCCACAGTCTTCTGTAGCTCACATAGATCCTCAAGTCGGTCATCAACTGACGAGATCGGGGTCTGCATTTTTGGCTTAAGATTTGCAGGAATACGGTCCAAGTTTCTACTACAAGGAAGATCCACAACATGAGAAGACTCAGACAGCCTCCAAGAACGCTTTCTAAACTTTTTTTTAAACCTCTGTTTGGGCCGCGGTAAAGGGGAAGACGATTCACTGTCAAAGTAAGCGTTTATGTCTGGAAAAAAGGATTCTTCTATTGACATAAAACTTTCTGAGGTTTCTCCTGTTTCCAATTGGGTCTTGCCAGATTTGGCTCTGTTCACAGGAAATGAAAGGATTCCAGGATTGGTGGTTTCTTGAAAGTTACAATTTTCTACCCTATTCTGTTCTTCATTCAGCGTTTGCTCTGAATTAAATTTAGAAGAGTGAGGTTTATCCAGTGCTTTTGGAAAAGGTGGATACATGCAGGATATGGGGGAGGTTTTGTGGAGACCGGCATTTGACTCTCTTTTGAGCGTCATGTCTAGATCAACGCTCTGCCGAATTGTCTTCTGAGAATCAACATTCACTCTCTGTGGTGAAAGTGTCTGATCCAGGTTCATGCGATCTTTGGCAGAAGAGCGTACGACATCTCCTATAGAAAATAAAAAAGTTAAAAAACAATATTTAGAGATAAAATCACTCAGTCAGTCAGTTACCAAGAAAACATTTCTTCCCCCCCCTCCCAGCTATACTTACAAAAGTGGTCTGCAGCCCTGGATCCTACGGACTGAGCTACTGCAAATGAGCTCAAAGAAGAGATCTGAGTGACCTCGTCTGGGTCTGACCTTAAAGACAAATTATCGGTTTAAAAAAGAAAAAATATATTTATAAGAATTAAATTATCTATGAGCAAAAAAAGTGCATGCCAAAACGGCAAGGAGAAGGGAGGAGATAAAAAAAAAAAAAATTCAGATACAGGAATGTGAGGGGAAAATAAAATTATGGCATAAATTTAAGAAAAAAGTATCTTACCTGCAATGCGTGCCACATCTGCCTCAATCAGGAAAACTCTTAAAAGGCAATTAGCACTTTTATTGGGGGTTTTTTTCTCCTCAAGGCTGCCATATGCCTGGACAGACTGACGGATTTCATTTCAGACGACTTCTTGACTCTCTTGCAGTAGCCCAGAAAGGACAGAAGTACATTTAACACTATATTGTATTTTTATTACCACAAGCCAAAGATAATTAAGCCAACGACTACCTTGCAGAAGATCCCAATAAGCTCTCAGTTACTAAGTCAATTCATAACAGACTAAATCATCAAGAATCTGAATATTTGTAAGACGACATAATGTTGACTTCGGTAAGGAAACCAAACCACTTGTACATTTAAAATCAGCACAACTTTAAAACTTTATTTTTTAATATATATAATGTAATAATTTGTCTTGCGCACACACACACACTATATATATATATATATATATATAAAAAATGTTTGTTTGTTTTTTTAAATTGTGTTGGATTTAAAAAAAAAAAATAAATAATTAATCCCCCGCACAAATATGAAAATAAAATAAGTTTCAAAGTATGAAAGCTTTACATAGCTCAAAATGGCACAACCTGTACTTCTACTTACAAAAATTCCCATTTATTGCAGTTGTCAATCAGCAGGAGATCCAACATATTTCACTGATCATTCGTCATTATTTGTGCGCATGGCCAAGGATACAAAGGTGACAACTTATGACACAGCATTCCAGTTAGAATAAATCTAATAACCATTTACAGAACACGTTTGAACTTCATTGTATATTATATTTGCAGAAACATTCAAAAGCTTAATGTTAATGCATTCGATTTGTTGGCTCTAGGGTAGGGCAACATACTTCTTAGGCACACCCATAGGTATATTACATAATGGTCATAAGATAAGATTAAATCTCACAAAAAGATACTCTAGGGCTTAAATGCACCAAAAAAAAACCCCCCACAATTTAAAAGGAATATTTTTTAAAAAAAAGACTTGTCTACAAATGTTCCTGCCAATACACTGTAAGCAGGAGACAGACCTATCCCAGACCAGGAAGTGGCTCCAACATTTGCATCCAGTGATGGCAGTGGGTGGGGAAAAAAGGGGGCACAAGGATAGTGAGGAACCATGAACTATTCCACAGCTTGGGCTCTTCTCTAAAGCTGCCTAGTGGTGGGATGGTGGCACCCACTTGCAATAAGTGCAAACATACAACTCGGGCAGTCCTTAAATAGCCGAAGCAATATCATCAAATTTAAATACTTTATAAAAAAAAAAAATTAATAAAGAAAAAAGGATGACGACATGGATATAGCTGCAACAGCAATTACAATGAAACATGAAAATACTGGATCTCTTCAATTCAATGGGAAAAAAGTACTGTCCACCACATTATACACCGCATGCGTGCGACTGCCATTAGTTCAACAAAAGTGTGAGAATCAGCTTAGATCTTTTAGAAGTCAGCCTTGGAGGGGGTGGAGGGGGGCTAAATTTAAAGCATTAAGTAGAGGGAATGTTCTTTTAAATACAGAACAGGTACTTGTCCATTAGTTAATTTAGAATCTAAGAATATATAAGAGCATTCAGCAAAGAGATAACTTGTCAATGCTAATGAACAGCATTCTTCTCCAAGCACGGTCCACTGAATAATTGAACGCGTATTGTGTGCCCATGTCAATGTGTCACTACGAAATTACTAAACCTACTAAACCTCCCAGTGTTTAAATATATGGCTAAAATACCACTGCAGATCTTCTACTGGAAGGAAGCTATTCCAAGCAATTACTTTTGGATTCTCTCCAAATGGTTCTGCTTGCCAGACAGAGAAATAAGCAAAAAGGGCATATGGCTTTTTCAAGACGACCCCCACCTTCTCCCCAGGACTAGTCAGACTGCTATAGAGGCACATTTTAACACGGCGCTTAACAGTTGCTTCAGACATTTGGCTTGCTCTACATTAGAATTGAATGTTGTTTAAACAAATAAAACATCCGTGCTGGAGAATGGAGGCCCTGAAGCCATTTTAGAATGCAGAACCTCATTAGAACCCCATCAGTCTACATCCAGGGTGTGAGAGATACAGTAAGGGGTCAATCACCCGTCCCCTCCCCCACACAACTCCACCACAAACACAAACAGTCCAAAATATATTACACACACTTCAGTACAATTAGAAAAAAAATGTGCATGTGTTCAAAATATTTTTGTAACAATATTCAGTTTTGAAACAGTAAAGGCTGCATTTACAAAATAGATACCATGCTGGATCCGTTATGAACTCCAGTAAAACGGTAACAGAATAACTTAGGACTCCACAATGGCAAATATCTTTACATTTACAGCCATGTGTAATATTAGTGTCTATTATCACTAGCGAAATGCTGCATATCTGGAGGTTAGTGGGCTTGGAGGATCAGAGCACCGGCTATCAGGTTATTCTGAAAAAAATATATATGGATTCGTATCCTGTTAGTGAATTTATCCTTGATGGCACTGAAGTCCTCCAGTGTTCAATGCGAATAAACAATGCAGAGCCGAGACTGCTGCTTAACGGGGCACTCCAGAACCAAAAAGCACTTTAGCTTTCTGAAAAAATGTGTGTGTGTGAAAAGTGCATCCTTTTTCCCCCCCCTTCATTTTGCAAAACGTACCGATTTCAAAAGAGATTGCTAATTTAGAAAAGTGCCATTGTTACACACCCCCTGGAGGTCAGAAAACTAGTCCTGTTACTTCCTGATTTGCTTGGCTCAGTGCAGACAAACTCAAGAGGCAGCAATTGCCCAGATAACCTGCCTTGCAAAGACAAGAGAATTCTAGAGTTATTCCCTAGAGCAGAGATCGGCAACCTTGGGCACTAAAGATGTGAAGGACCACATCTCCCTTAATTATTTAACAGTTATGATACTGCAAAGCATCAGTGGAGATATAGTCCATAATATCTGGAGTGATTAAGGTTGCCCATCTCTGCACTAGAATGTGAATTGTCAGCAATTGAAAGCAAATCTCAAATTTTTGGCCAAAAACAGACAAAAATCGAGAAAAATTCTCCAGAACAGCCGTTTTGGTTAAAAAAAAAAAAAAAAAATATTTGAAATTTGCAGTAGAAAGGCTCATAGGAATATAAAAGGTATGTGATAAGACACAAACTTACACTGCATTCTAATTAAGGCTACAGGCAGAAAATTACAGTTTTAAAGAAAAAAAAAAACACACTAATATAATAATCATTAAAAGCGCTGCAGCAGTTCCTCGCCATCTGAGATTTTCTGTCCAACACACGTATGCTCACATAAGTAATGGGACCCCATGAAGTATGCGCAGCACCTGCTGTGCTCAGCCGATAGGATGTTTCTCATAGAGAGCAAGTTTATTTAATGTTTCTTTAGAAGAAGCATTTAAAAAGGAATGATTGACCGCCACTACAGACATTTTGACTTACAACCGTAAACACTGCCTTTTTACAGAAACAGCATTGTTTACACTTGTCACATTTTAAAGACAGGATATTAAGGATGTAATGGTTTTGGAGCTTAGAATGTCAAAGTAAAAAAAAAATAAAAAAAAAAATTAAAAATTAATACAATTCCAGGAAATGAAGAGACAGTAGTAATAGACACTTCAGTAGTTATGGTTATAGGAATCCCCTGGAAGTACATTTTATGCTTTAGAAATATCAAGTTTCTCTCATTTTGGACAGAGTTCATTGTCTGAGGAACATCAGCAGTTATATCATATCTCTATCTATATCTATACCTCTATCTATACCTCTATCTATATATATATATATATATATAATATCTCTTTCCTTCAATATGTACTTTAGTCGATATTAAAGGACCACTATAGGCACCTAGACCACTTCAGCTAAATGAAGTGGTCTGGATGCCAGGTCCAGCTAGGTTTAACCCTTTTTAAAATAAACATAGCAGTTTCAGAGAAACTGCTATGCTTACATTAGGATTAATCTAGCCTCTAGTGGCTGTCTCATTGACAGCCGCTAAAGGCTTCCGTGCTTATAACTGTGATTTTCACAGTGAGAAGACGCCAGCGTCCATAGGAAAGCATTGAGAATGCTTTCCTATGGACTGGCTGAATGCGCATGCGCGGCAAGAGCCGCGCGCATTCAGCCGGTGACGGAAGAAGAGTGCCCCGTCCGGCGCTGGAGAAAGAGGTAAGTGTAACCCCTTCCTCTCCATCCAGCCCAGCGGGAGGGGGTCCCTGAGGGTGGGGGCAATATAGTGCCAGGAAAACGAGTATGTTTTCCTGGCACTATAGTGGGACTTTAAGGATATTAAAAAATAAATGAGAGCTGCTATTTAATAACAGATCTAAAGGTAGTTAGTCTTTAAAGTTACTGGATAGGGAATGTGAAATGTTAACATCCAACGTTGTTTTGGAATGAGAATGAAATTTCACAAAAAAGTATTTCCATGAATAAAACTGGAAATGGACCTGTACTGCCTTGGCACCATTTTTAGTGCCAAAAGGGACACACAATGCAGTGTCTAGGCCGTAGAACCAAACAATTCTATCTGTACCAGTTTAACCCCTTGGGGACACATGACGTGTGACATGTCATGATTCCCTTTTATTCCAGAAGTTTGGTCCTTAAGGGGTTAAAGCCAGCTATAGAGAGATCGGTTCACCTAGTGCACAGATCTTCCTTCCAGGATCTCTTCCATTCTTGGGCTCCATTGCTGATAGAGAGTGCCAGGATGTGACATTTAAAAGCCCCAATGGCGAGAGATCTGTGCTCTGGATGAATAGATAACATGAACCCCACACTAGATCCTCAGGGAACGGACTCTATCCAGGTGATTATTCTGAATAGATATGAAGGGAGCAGTTTGTGCTACTATGGCTAGTATGACACCTCATTCTTTATAGTTTAATCTACCTCCTGCATGTCACCATTTACACAAGGGAAAGAGGGGAGGGGGTTAGGGAACCCCACAGAGCTACGTACACAGACTAAAGCTTCATTTTATGTATTCATGTACAGTATTTTTAGAACAAAGCAGAACAGCTGTGCTATATATAGGGCAGTAACCACATGGCAGGACATAGTGCCCAAGGACTTTACAATAATACATATACAAAGAAGGTAATAGCATACACACACATATTATAAAAACAAAAAATGTATACACACACACACACACACATTATAAAAAAAAAAAAAAATAATACACCACTTTCATTTAAGTCACTCTAACTAGCCAAGAGGAAATTGCACAAAGCGGATATAACTAGACTTGGAATTAAATTAAAGGTGAATTTCACAAACTTTTGCTTTTCAAGTAGAACCTGACAAAAAGCCTTAAAAACACATTACTTTTATCACATACTGCTGGAAACACACATGGCAGGGCCACCAGTGGTTCATAAATAACAACTGTTAAAAACAACCTTGACTTAAAAAAAAAAAAAAAAAAGTAAAAAAGGAAGGGGGTAGAGGTGTCATAGCAGCTAAACTAGCACGTTCCAAATTTGTTTTTGTTTTTTTAATACCCCCCCCAAAAAAATTTTTACAAAAAAAATAATAAACTATTTTGGAACATGCAGGCTGTCCATAGGATACTTTGTGCTCGATTTCATATTTTTCAATGGTTTCTTTTTGGATAAACTTTTTAAAAGATTTAATAATTTGAAGAAAAAAATATGAGTTAGGAAGCTTATTCAAAAATATTAAATGGAGGCCCTTACTAGAATGAAAGAGCACTTTTCGATGTTTAACAATGGATGGTGAAGATACTGGAATACTAATTGGATTATTAAAATAAAAAAATGTAAATTTGAGGGAGAGAGATTTTATTATACGTCCATACATACAAACCGGTTTCTTTTCTCTGAGCCAGGTACAAGCCTTGTCAAGTGCAACTCTAAGAATGTACGTGGGATGTGCAAAGTGCTGAATACATGGGCACTTCGAAGCGCTCCACATACGGGAAATAATAAGTGGGGATGGTCAAAGCTGCCTTTAGTGGGGATTGCATATATGGACATTGGACTGGCCCCTCTGTCCCAAGTTCATATCTTCCAAAGTGGGGAGGTATGTAGGATACAGGTTTACACAAACAAAGATGTATATTCTAAAACACAAAGTTACCTTGTGAAACTGCAACAGAAGGTAGTTGGAGTGTGGAGAACCCAATGCTTCCATTAATCAATTGACTATTTGTTCCTGTATTGGGGATCTGTACAATGCCGTACGGGTTTATCTGTATAGGACCAGTGAACGTAACCAAAGTACCACCATCTTGAGATGTGGTGGTCTCAATATTTTCACTTTTGACTTCTGTGGCAGGTATTAGCCCAGGGAAGGTAGGCTGCATGGTACTAGTATATGTTGCTGTTGAATCTGACATTGCAGACTGCAAGATCTTGAAGTCTTTAACATCTTCTGAAGACCCCAAGATGTCACCGTTTGAAACTCCATTGCTCCCCATGGTTGAAGCCATTTTGGTGGAATTCAATGTAACAGTTTGTGAGTTTGCCATGTTTAAGCCATTGAGAAGCACTCCATTGTGCCCTTGGATGAGAGAACCACCATTAAGAAAGACCGGTGAATTGTTTGAAGACACCAAGCTTCCATTTAACAGAACTCCTGAGGAACCCAACGAGATTTTATTTCCAATATGCTGCATATAAATTGTGTCAGTTGGACTAGTAAGATTTATGTTGGAGACTCCATCTGAGCTAGAAAGGGGATGAGGAGACAAGTCGTCTTGACCTTTGCTGGATTCATCTTCAGTGCTATGATTGCCATCAGATTCACTGTAAAACATTGAAAAAAAAAATGTATATAAATTTTAAGTTTGTTAAATCATACATTGAGCAAACAATCAAATTACAAAAACTGTCAACTGTCAGTCCAGGTGCTGCGGACCATGGCTAGTAGTATTTGGAATTATTTGTCAAAGAAGAGGTGGTCTATGGCAGATGGTCTGCAGAAGGTTGACTAACCCAGGTGCAATTTTTTTTTTATTTTATTTTTTTTTAAACTATGAACGAACATTCCAGCGCGTGGAAACAAAACAAGCAAACGTCACTGACTGGCATAAACATTTTGGCTGATCAAGTTATGTTAAAACCAGATGAGAAGCCCCAGAAATCTCCCTTCTCAGTTTGTCAATAGGAGGGTACCTGGAGACCCTGCTGTACTAAGAAGAGCAGGAGTAAGAAAAGCAAGTTATTCAACCGGGGATTCCCATTTGGCAACAGTGGCTTATTCCAGCAAATGGGAATATTTTGGTAATGCAAATGAAAGATTCTACGAAGTGTAAAGAATTGCAAATTGTAGGCCAGTTATTTTTGGCTGAAACATTGTAATTCCTTTTGTTATTTCACCATGATTTCAGTTCAGTAAATAAAACCTAAAAATGCTTTGTAAATTAAGTAAAACCCTGAAAAAAATGTCATCAAAATATTGAATTGTTTGCTTTGACATAACACAAAAAAACATGCACGCAGTGTTTACATTGGACGGATCTGATTTGATAATAAATAAAATTCTTAAGACAACAGAATATACAAGAAAGTCCCAAAAGGTGTGAAAGTGTAGCGTAAAAAGAAGGGAAAAAAAAAAAAAAAAAAAGTCACTGCAGTGGGGGATGTGCTAATGGAACCAGGAAAGAGTAGTTTAGATAGGCCAAAGAATTTCACCTGTCTGTTTCACCATTCATCAAACCTCCCCTCCCCCATATCTGCAGACCCTGAAGTCAGAAACTAAGGAAAAAACACAGATTGCAGTCGGTCTCGCAAAGAAAATTCACAGCAACCAAGTGAAAATGCGACATAAAATCTCAAGCCATTTTTATTGAGAACTTTTATAGAGCTCAGTATGAAAAATTTTCAAAATGATCCTAAAACTGTCAGACAGAGCAATCCAAATTGAAAAACCATGGTCTGCATGAGACGCATTTAAGATTTATGAATATTTCAAAAGCTGCTCTGTTTCAATCAAGCCTCAGAAAAAAAATAAATGGTTTTGCATCAAGAGTATGTTTAATATATTACATGTAAACAGTGGGGGAAAAATGTGTGAGTATGCGTAAAAAAATTATAATATTTATTATTATACATACACTGGGGTTTACTCAACAAGAACCCAACTATATTGTTAACAGAACTCCAAACTGGAGAACGGAGGCAAAAAATAGCCAAGCTCTTGATAGCCTGAAGGATTTTTCTAAAGCAACTATTTTTGGCTAATGTTGCAATTTAGCTTTCAATTCACTACAGTTTGGTGAGTCATAGATTCAATAAATAATAATTGGTTCCTAAATGCCAGAAACGTGTACAGTTTTGTATGTTACCAGTTATGTAATGCAAAAAAATAAAAAAATAAATTAATAAATAAAATCTTGCTCAGCTGAAGGAAGTGGAAGCCATTGTAAGACTTGATTTGAAAGACATATCTACTCAAGTTATTTATCATCACTCCTTCAAGTTTTGGTATTTTAAAAAGAAAAAAAAAAACAATTTATTCATAAAGTTTAGAATATGCTGAAGTGCAAAAATCTTTCCAATAACAGGGTTATTTACCAAACTAATTTCAGCAAATTATATCCAAACAACAAAACAGACTAAATTAGCCAAATCAATGACAACAGCAGAGAAGGGGAATTTATCCAAATCATCTATTTTAGCATTACATTTGCCTTTCAGATTTTAATTCACTAAAATTTGGAGATTAGCGAACAATCGTTTTAGTATTTCTGTTGTATCAGTAAATCTACTTGCCACTATATAAAGAAACTGCAATACATCACAATGCAATGCATTCACCCAAACCAGTTACAAACAGGAGCTATCTTTCTTACATTCAAATTAATGAAATAGTTTTAATAAAATAAATAATAGGAAAACCACAGGATAGTTAAGAAGAATTCTGTTGAGGGCTATTTATCATTAGATTTGTTACTGTAAACACTGAGACTTAAGCGTCAACTGCCTCCTTCTGCAAAATGTGTGGCCTGTACATTTGCTTAGAAAACACTAGTTCAGCATATTCGCGCCTTTCAAGAAAAATGCCTTAAGGCAAGTTCTGTTATTAAGTGCTGCAAATGGAAGGCAGGAAAAAAAAAAAAAAAAAAATCAGAAATAGGGAAGGGTTTGGCTTTCTGTTAGAATAAGAGGTCACCTACACCTGGCAGGCCAAACCCAAGGGAGACCTAGAAAGATAAGGTGAAACAACACCAAGAATGGAAACAAGTTAACTCCTGCATTGCTGGACTGCTTTACATAAAACACTATAACTATTGAAAGAAGAAAAAAAAAAAAAAAAAGACTTAAGCAAATGCCTTGAGCTACAATATGTCTAAAAAGACTAAACATGTACAGACATTCAAAATAATGGTTTTGAATCTCTTGTCCCTTAGTCATAGAAGAGAGAAATCCTTTAAAAAAAAAAAAAAAAAAACACTCAGCACACTGCAAGTGCTGTAAAAACAAAACAATATTTCTTGAAAAGAAAAACAGGGAAAAATAATAAAAAGGAGCAAAGCTTTAAGATTAAGAAACAGATTGCTAGGTGAGAGATTGCAACACTAAGATGGAGGATATAAAAGGACATGGTTGCAGCCTTTTAACATAGTAGCACATGAATGCAAAGATTATTTAACCCCCTGCATAAATGAGGAAATGTACACAAGATCTGAACAAAAGGTGTGCCTGGAAAAGAAAGGAGAGGAGGAGAACCACATGAGAGGTAGAGCTCATCAAGATTCCTTGTGCAGTAAAACAAACTGTCTAAACAAGACTGGAAGTTCTGGGGGAACAAAGTCACATCTGTTCTGCATGCTCACCATGACTGCCAGGTCTAGCAATAAAATAAAGCCCCCACTCTTTGCCATCTAGCTCACCTTGCTAAGGAGTGGGGGAACCAAATACAGTGCCCAATACCTTCCAGTTCCCTTGCCATTAAAAGAAATGCATTGTCTTCTAAACGAGTCTTGGGTACACCAAAAACAAAAAGGATCTACCAACAGGCACATACTGCCTACTATCCAAATCATCCCATATATCCTCAACTCACAGACAAAAAAAATACATTATTGGAAACAAACCAGGCATTTGCTTTGGGGGATCTGCTGTGAGCTGCAAGAGAGCAAAGTATAAAATGGGCAATGCAAATGAGCAAGGCGATCAAAGTGCATTGGCACAGGGGAGTCATCGCCTATCTAGGATTTCAATGAAATTCGAGCTGAATGTGCTCAGAATCAGGTTTCAAAACACTGCAGCTGGATCTGCCATGCTCTCTCTCTGCACTGCATTAAAAACTGGTCAATCATTTACGCTGTCAAAATAAAAACCCTAAAAAAATAAAGAATCGGTTGGTATCTGCATCTAGCCAAATATTCCCACTGTTAGCCAAACCCAAGTCAACAAAAAGAACGTTAAATAATCATTTATACAGAGAGAGAGAGCTCCATCCATCCCACCCCTTCCCCCAGCCAGGACTCTCACACCAAGTCCTCTGCCCCGGGACACTGGGAAAGTTGAGTGTGAGCGCCATATCTATGAGCTCACGGTGCGACCCTCTCCCCTCTGCCCCGGGACACTGGGAAAGTTGAGTGTGAGCTCACGGTGCGACCCTCTCCCCGCTGCCCCGGGACACTGGGAAAGTTGAGTGTGAGCGCCATGTCGATGAGCTCACGGTGCGACCCTTTTCCCTCTGCCCCGGGACACTGGGAAAGTTAAGTGTGAGCTCACGGTGCGACCCTCTCCCCGCTGCCCCGGGACACTGGGAAAGTTTAGTGTGAGCGCCCTGGTGATGAGCTCACGGTGCGACGCTCTCCCCGCGGCCCCGGGACACTGGGAAAGAAGAGTGTGAGCTCACGGTGCGACCCTCTCCCCGCTGCCCCGGGACACTGGGAAAGTTGAGTGTGAGCGCCATGTTGATGAGCTCACGGTGCGACCCCCGGGCTTACCTCTTGGACTGCGCTTCGGACGGGTTGCGGTCGCGCTGGCGGCGGTTTTTGAACCAGTTGCTGACCTGGGTGAGGGACAGGCCGGTGATCTTGGCCAGGTTCCGCTTGGCTGCCGGGGACGGGTACCGGTTGTGCTTGTAGAGCTCTTTGAGTGCGTTTCGGGACTTCTCCTTGAAGCAGTAGACGGTCTCCTCGCCGTCCCAGATGGTCCGGGGCAGGGGGAACTTCCTCCTCAGCCGGTACTTATCCACGGCCCCCAGCGCCCTCCCCCGGGCCTTCTCCGCCTCGTTATACCGCGCCTTGTACCACAGGTCCTGCAGCACGGCGTGGTTGGACGGGTCGAAGTTGTGGCTCTCCAGGACCGAGAAGAGCTCCTGGTACCGGCCCTGGTGGAAAGCCACCAGCGCCCGGGCTTTGAGAATGCTCTCATTGCCACGTAGCAGATCGGTCTGGGGCAGCGACCACAGGAACCGGGCCAGCCTGTCCAGGTCCCCCCCCTGCTGCAGAGCCTCGCACACACAGGCGACGTGCTCCGGGGAGAAAGCCAGGGTGTAGGGGGCGCCCTTCACCCCCTCCTCAGTGCCAGGCTCCATGGAGAAGGCTGGGGGCTCCAGGGCATCTTCCTGCTTAATGCTGACTGCATGGACTGTCCCGTGTGGAGGGGAAGACATTTTTCCCCCCACTCTTTAAAAAAAATAAATAAAAAAAAAAAAGTCCTCCTCCTCCCCCCCTGAATGATCAGGTTTCCAGCGGCCACGCAGCAATCATTAGGTAGCTCTTTTTTTTCTACTCCCCCTTAAAGTGTAAACGGATACAATGTGACTACTACACAAACTCCGGCTTAGAACGTCCTGGCCTGGAGCTGGGAGCACCATAGGGGGACTGGGAGGGGGGCGGGGCCTTTGGAATGCAAGACCGGCCGTTGCCGGGGGAACCGTCAGTCAGCGAACTCTCTCCACCCCGCTGGCAGACCATTTGGAACACCTACTACCTCTCTTACCTGGCCTGGGACTTACTGTGGGATCAGCTGCCCCTGCAAAGAGTTACTTTTAGCTGTGCAGAATTTAAAGAGGAAAAAGAATAAAAATACAACAAAATAGAGATATTTAAAAAAAAAAAAAAAACTAAACAAAATGACTAATATAAAAAACAAACAACAAAAATAGTAATATTAAAAAAAAATACTGAACAAAATGACTAATATAAAAAAAATAGTAATATTAAAAAGAAAATACTGAACAAAATTACCAATGTAAAAAAAATAGTAATGTGAAAAAAAAAAACAACTGAACAAAATTACTAATATAAAAACCAAACAACAAAAATAGTAATATTCAAAAAAACAAATAGTAAAAACAAAACAAAATCGCTGATATAAAAAAAGAACAAAAATACTAATATTAAAATATTATAAACCACGATGTTGATACACTATGTCAAAGGGGTCCATGGGAAAAATTCATTGGGAACCGCTGGTCTAGAGAAGGTGATAAACTAATTAAAAGAAAAAGGACAACTTTGCAACTAAGTAAACTAATACATAATGTACAGTGCATTCAGAACCTTTTATGCTACAATTGATTTTTTTATCTGCAACAACAAAGTATAAAAAGCTGATTTTGTAAAACCGTGGAAATTTATAACAAAAAAATCAAATTCCCTATAAGTATTCACACCCTTTGCTGTGACACTTGAAATTTAGCTCAGCTGCGTCCAATTTCTCTGAATCATCTTTCAGATTTTTCTACATTTTGATGGAAGTCCACCTGTGACAAATGTAATTGATTGGACATGATTTGGAAAGGCAACGGTCTTTGTAACTGTAGCCATACAGCTGATATCCCAATTATCAACCTATTGTTCCTGTCAAACTAACTGTAATAGTTTGTCTCATTTGTTGGCAAAGTCCCCTCAATAATACAGGATATGGCTGCCAAATAAGTTGGCACTAAATGAATGCCTAATAATAATATAAGATCTCACAGCTGTAAGTACATATCAGAGCAAAAACCAAGCTATGAGATTAAAGGAACTGCCTCCAGAGCTCAGAGACAGGATTGTGTTGAGGCACAGATCTGTGGAAAACTACAAGCAAGTTTTGTCTCCGTTGAAGGTTCCCAAGAGCACAGTGGCCTCCATAATTCTTAAAGGGAAGAAGTTTGGAACAACCAAGACTCTTCTTAGATGTAGCCGTGCAGCGAAACGTAGGGAAGAAGGGCCTTGAGAAAAGAGGTGACCAAGATGTTTGCGCTCTTTATCATGGTCGTTTCTGTTGATGCTTCGGGGTTTGATGTTATACAAAGACATATAGTATTTGTAGTAGAAGGAGTGAAATTGGGAACATTGCCTTGGTAAATCCTCCGATGGTATATGCAACAGAAAACAGGAGTGAAGGAGAGGTAGGAGTAATATAATGTTGTTCTTAACACATCTAAAAGTGAAGGAGATCATGAAATGCACTTTCAGGAAATTGAGCTAAAGAGCTCCAGTGGATAGCGCCTGAGTGGTATGATATCCGTCTGGTGCATCTGTTGATCTCAATATATGATCAAGGAACATGGAAGGGAACACAGAAGTGGACACTAGATATTGTAGTAATTCTAAGTGCTGTTAATTTTTTAAAACTAGGTATAATAGGAAGTACACTCACATTCATTGGAGCCCAATATGTGGCTCCTTTAAACAGTGCAGAGTGGTATGATCTCAACAGTAAGGATATGTGGGTGCTGTGGTATATATAAAAACAGAAAAAACAGCAATATAGTGCACACTATGTGGTATAATAAGTGAAATAGATGAAAAATCTCTTACTATTTTAAGAGCAAAGTAAAGTACACTTCCAACCTGAGAGAGCTAAGTCCAGGATATTCATGGAGATTTAAAAAAATTAAACAGGATGGTCTAGCATGGTCAGAATATTACTATCTTATTAGCGTGCAATAAAACAATAAAAAATAAGACAATAGTAACATGATGCCTTTCGCCACAGGATATGGCTTTTTCAAGTGTTGGAACACTTAAAAAGGCCCTATCCTGTGGTGCAACACTAGCATCCAGGGTCAGGATTGATAGGCCTTGATGTAGACTGATGGTAGAATTTCAGAATGTCCACGATAAGTGTTCGCTGGCATTGGATATAATGTGTTCTTTCAAACAATATGAATGGACGTAACAAATTCCTTGGTGCTCCATCAGATTAAGGAGAGCTTAGAGCTCAGTAAGCCCTGTCTAGGTGAATCTCTTCTGGATCCTCATTGCAAGGTGGCAGCCAGAGGTTTGATGTGGTCTGTCTCAGGTAGGCAGCAGATCTGTATATTGTTCCTATGGCCGCGATTATCAAGGTCATTGACCTCCTCCATAGGTTTAGTATGATGTTCCCTTGTTTTATAGCCGCAGTCTCCGCTGCTTCGTACAGCTCATCAGAGTGCAGGGTTGAGGTTTCTAAGGGCTCTTGGGAAATCTGCCAGGTCCAGATGGGTAGCCCCTTTGAAAGATGTTTTTAATGCATCATGGACATGGACATGTATATGGCATGGAGGTCAGCCCTCAATTGCTCGAGGGGTGGTAAGGTTTCACCTTCTACCAAGTCGGAGAAAAGGCAGTGTTTACATTGCATCCTTGGAACACCTCCAGTGGCCACTCCTCAGATGGCTACAAGAGGTGCTTCCTGGGGCAGTGCTGCACATTCAGTGTCTCCACCCTCTGCATGGAGACATTGGACTTTCCTCATAGAGATGCACTGATTCAATGCATCTCCATGAGCAGATGCTGATTGGCCAGGGCGGCATTTGGCTCCACCTGCGACCCTCCTCTTTGGCAAGGATTATCAGAATTAACAATCTTAGCCAATCCAATGCTTTCCTATGGGAAATCATCACTTCTGATAATGTCAGCCAAGGGGGCAGATCAGGGGCAAAGCCAACAGTAGCAGATTGGAATAAAGGTAAGATTTTACTATATCAAGGGGGGGTAGATAGTGTTTTTAGCACTAAGGGATCAGGAATACATGTTTGTGTTCCTGGCCCTATGGTGTTCCTTTAAATAAAACATGTCATAAAATGAACAGAGAACGGGACAGAAAGCAGAAAACTAAAAATATGTGAAATGTCATTATATACTAATAAATAAAAAATTTCATACGATGCATATAAATACAGTCAATGATGTCTCATTTTAAATAATCATATAATGCAAGAAATTTGAATACTGCCTTAAATATGTATTTTACAGCTATGCGACTAGACTTGTGCTTTAATGCTTTATGAATTCTGTACAGCTTTGGAGAAATCAAATAGGTGAAGCAACAAGCATAGAAAAGAAAACCTTAAAAAATTATAAGAACGCATTACAATGTAACCTTTATCCTGAGTGTTCTTTGTTTCATGCAATTCAAATCTTGCATGTTATTTGCAGCATGACTGCAGCCTGGAAAATGCATGAGTAAGAGAAAAATATATCATAGCAGCCCACTGCCCTGTCTTGGCACATTCAATACCTTTTAGATTCATTAAACTTATTTGGACTTTAAAATAAAGCATCATTAAGAATGATTGCACTAATGCCATGTGTTATTACATTTTGCTGAAGCATTACATCTTTTTACACTAATTGTGGATGGGGGTTTACCCTCATTCGTCCTTACAAAGGGCTCCCTTTTTATAGCAGGCAACAGATTTTTTCAATCACAGCATGTAATTAAAAAAAAAAAAACAAAACAAAAACAAACAATCTTGTTTCGGCAGTCATGTTCAGTATCAGAAATGGCAGTACTACCCCATACGAACATAATAAAAATATTATATAGAAAACATAGTGGTGAATTGTGTAATATGGGAATATAGCGCCATTGCCAAAATGAAAACAAGACACAAAAGATAAAAGGTAGAGTAGCTTACACACGTCTGCAGAACCCTGAGATGGAATTATTCACCTTTAATGTACATTCACAGTTATGTATTTTTATATAACATGTTTTAGGGTTATGGCTCCACCTATGTACATACGTAATGCATGTCCTAGTCAGCCTTACTTGCCCTGTTAGCAGCTGCTATTTGCAGCTGCCACCATTAGTTCAGTTCCTCTCATTAATGCCATGCGAGGAGTGGACCTGGGGAGATAGAGTTGCACTGTTTCTACCTCCTCAGCTCCGCTCCTGACGTGCATGTGAGTGCTGAGAGGGCGCTGAGATGAAATGATAAAGAGATAATGAGCATTCAGATACCATGTGGTGACTGGTTCCATACGATATTCCACATAACGCACGGTTTGACTGCCATCGTCCAGTACAGACCCCATTCTCAGGGCCGCTCTGGGACACACATAGAGTCAGACTCCTGCACAGCAGCTGCAATATACAGCTATAGCTGTCACCATGTTCAGTCAGAACTTTCCTGATTTTGTTGAATTAATGGAGACAGCTGCCACCCTGGAATGTCATTTTCACTAATCTCAAGCAGAATGGGAAATGTATGTCATCAATGGATTCTTAACACTAACCCCCGGGCCCAACATTAAAAACAGTACCACACTCATATAAAGAAACATATCGGGGGGAAATAATACTATCTCTGTTTGTTATACTGATATCTGTCTGTCTATCCTTTCTGGATATGCAAATAAGCACAGAGAGGCATCTTGTTTCAGACTTCATTTTATATTTCTGCAGACATATTTAGCAATAGATCCTTGGTCCTTTTGGATCACAATCGGGCCTTACCTGAACATTGGGCAAACCGGGCCAATGTTGACTATGGGCAGAGGGCAAATGTGGAGATCAAAGGATCTTCTGACTGACCCTGGAAGAGCTAACAGTACCAGAGCTCGCGCTCAAGGAGGGTGCTCTAAAACTCAGAAATCAGGTGAAATAAAAACCCCTATCTGGATGAAGGCTAACAAGGAAGATTAAGAATAAATTTGATGATTTTCTTTTTTTTTTAATATCCTCTCTTCACAAACACACTGCACCACAAACAGTACCCTCCACCCCCCTCTACACCATGGACAACTGCCTATACACACACTACACCGCAAACAGCCCCCTACACACTCTATGCTAATTAGCCCCCAACACACACACTAGCTTTCTCTACCACACACACAACACTAAAAGCTCCATTGCTAAGGATTTTCTGCAGAAAGATATATTTAGTAATGGCAATATATTACCCCAACAGCAGCAGCCCTTGTCGAACCATGTTTGCTAGTTTTTATCCTCATTCACAAGTATTTGGTTATTATATGGATATAAATATATTGTTGCACGCCTCAAGAGACTGTTCCCTAATTGCCATTTCCAAAGCACACTGTCTGATCACACGACTAGCCACCTTGTACTCTTTTTACTCTGGCTGAGTATGTGCTAAGACAGCAAAACATAAAAATAAGTGACTCCTCCATCTGAACCATGTGACTGAAATCTCTGACACTTGGACTGTGGATAGGTCTGGAGGAGAGTGTGAAGGATTCCCCTACACCCATTCGGCTACTTTGACTTTCCCTGCTATTTACAGTATATACTCGAGTATAAGTCTAGTTTTTCAGCACATTTTTTGTGCTTAAAAACCCCCACTTGACTTATACTCGAGTCACTGTCTGTATTATGGCAACTTAGAGAGCCGCGGCCGTCAGAGCCATGGCAACGATCCGCGCGGCAACCAGACCGCGAGACTTACAGTGGAGCTGACCGTAATGGAGGAGAAGGGAGCTGACAGGAGCTGCAGGAAAGGTAAGTAAATGCTTCCTGCCGGCCCCCCCACTTCACAGCCCATGCCACTGGACCACCAGGGATTAAGATAGCCCTCCTCCCTGACCAGTTAACAAGCAGGGAGGGGGGACAAAATAAAATTAAAATAATAAAAAAATTATAATATTAAAATAAAAAAAAATTAAAATAATAAAAATGCCCTCCCCCCCACCCAGTTCACACACACTACACAAACACACACTCTGCATTATATACACAGAGTGTGTGTATATAATGCAGAGTGTGTGTTTGTATGAGTGTGTGTGTTTGTATGAGTGTGTGTGTGTGTGTATATATAATGCAGAGTGTGTGTTTGTATGAGTGTATGTGTATATAATTATAAAAATCACAGAATTTCATAGCCCCAAGTTTTACCCTCGACTTATCCACGAGGCATAGCATATTTCACAATTGTTGGTCACAAAACTGCACTCGACTTATACATGAGATCGACTTATACACGAGTATATACGGTAAGTTCCCTAGATTGTTTGGTTTATTTTATTGGTTCGGTAAAATTCGTTTACCGAACGGAGACCACCCTGGGTAGCAACTAGAACATGGAACACTGAGTAAATATACAAAAACTGCAAGTTAATTGAGTGCTCCTAGGTGGCCGCCATTTCGGCATACACACGCATGTGGTGAGAACAAAGGATGGCGGCCATCTTAAACTCCCGAACGCGGCCAGCGGGACTTCGTCGAGTGTCTGGAACTGTTTTGGGCATGGCACTCGCACGAACACCCGGTCCCCATAGAAGTCCCATATGAACGGTTTACCCACAAAGTAGAAGAATGGCGTTCGGGAGTTTCAAACAGACGAACGAGGGGAGCACTCTGCATGAATCAGCTTTATTCCATCACATGCGGTTTTCGTATAAATTCATCCGAACGGAGACCGGCTCTTGCTACCAAATCTGTGGAACTCTGGATAGGATACAACCGCATGGCGAGCCGGTCAACCTTCCACACGATGTGACACAAAAACTACCGAACGGATTTTCCCCATTAAATCAGTCTTGTTCCAGCATTAAGCTTTGGCTCATGTGTGAATTATTTGGCGATACCAGCGATATTTTTACACTGTGGATTATTGGCGATATTCTGTTATTTGGGATAAGGGAATATTAGACGGTGATACGTATTGATACCGTCACAACTTCTATTCTTGGATACCCCCAGATCAATAGTGCGCCTTCAAGGTCTTTATTGGTCTTGACAGAAGGATAGTAACCGTATTGACTATTCTTCTTGGGAGAACAATCGGATTTATTTTAGATTTATTGACTGCAATCTTCATGTGTCAATGTCTGCCTTGAAATCTCTTTAAAGTACATTTACCGGGCCACTCAAGAACTCTAAGTCATCCAGTTATGTTAAACTAAAGCACAAATGTCCTACCTGACGTTAGAATATTCACTATTTCGATCAATTTAATTGACTGATTCACTTGTGCCTTGTATCATAGCCATCTTTCCTACTTTCACTGCCATGATTGCAACACAACTGTCATCCAATGCTGGACTTATGCCATGTCCCACATTTAGAATGCAGACCAAAAAGTCAAGTGTCTCTTTCTCATGACCACAAAACTCTGCATGCTTCTTTTCTTTTTTTTTTTTGTGTGTGTTTTTTACATTTGCAAATTCAGTATCTCCTTTCAAACTGAGCTTTGAGAGTGAAGCCTTCAATCTCGCCACACGTGCATAAAGTCAAGCTTTGTGTAGGAGCTTGCTTGTAATTGTTGTATAAACAATGACTCCCATCTCAGACATACATTTCAGATAAATAAATATTATTTTTGGGCTATTTGTACAGCATCCTGCGTCATGTCCATTATCTGTCTATTGGCGTGACTAGTATTTGGAAGACTCTACTTCTTACATGTAACTCATCGGCCCCATGCTCACTATGACTGAAATATGTATGATTGTGTATGTGCATGTATGTTTATATATTATTTTTGCCTAGGTTAGGCGGTTAAAAACCAAATATTACATTATGTTGGCTTTGAAATAGCTGTTTAGTGAATGAGTGAGTATGCTGGATCTTGTATGCTTTATATATATATAGAGCATTTTATTGTTATAATTGTTTTTTTATTCTGATCAATTTATTTTTTTTAATCTTGCAAGATTTATAGACATAATAGCTCAGGAACCAGCATTGTGTTCAATAACCTTAAACTTAAACGAAAGTCAAACAGTGGATGATTAAATTAGAACATGTGCAGTTCATGTAATATTGGGGTTTAAGTGTGCAATTTTGGACGATTTATCTTTTTTTTTTTTGCGAATTTGAATTGTTATATGGCCAAATCACGAAACATACAAAACAGACACAAGAACAAACTGTTTAATTTGTTTCATTATTCGGGGGGCTCTGTCCGTAGTGCCCCCCCAAAATAAAAAATGATTGATGACTTGGGGACAGCCACTAAATGTTTTTTTTCACAGATTAAGTAGATTAGAGCAATAGAATTACATAACATATAGACATAGAGTTGTTGGTTTTTTTTTTACTGGTCCTCCTGTTTTTGCCTCTATTGGTCAACTGGATCTGTGAACCAAGTGGTGTGAAAACATATATATATATATCAGTGTATTGCATTTATATTATGTATATATTTTGCAGTACACTAATAGGTGCATTTTCGCTACATTTTGATTTGTCCAAATTGGTTTCTCCAAAATGATCACGCAGACGAAACTAATCGGAAACGGAACAAATCGTAGACGAAATCTGGTCTGTCCAATAAAGATTTGAAAATAAAAGAAATCTGGTCTGTCCAAACCAAATTATTAGTATTACCAATCACAGTTCTATGCACAGTAAAGTATGTTATTGTCAGAATTAAATTATAACAGCTAAAAAATATGTCCCCTGATGTCTCTCCTGCCCCAAGTCAATTGATTTTCATGTACGTTCAATGTAGCTTTGCCATTTCACCATTTTTTTGGAGGGGGATTTGTCTTTTTTGTTTGGAGCATGATTTGAATGTGTTGCCTGGACTGTATGCTCCTGTACTAAAGCCAATTAATTATGTCCAGAATCCCAAAGTCAACTACAAATGTATTGCTGTGCGGTTGTACGTTTTAAATATTAATATTCAGTTGTATAGTATGTTGCATATTATAACTTTTTTTTTAAAATCTGTATGTTTTGATATGTTTCTGCCATTCCTGTTTTCCAAATCTGCTTTCTGAGAGGGTGCTGTATAATTAGCTTTTTGATGAAGATAGGCAGACTGCATTATAGATTGTATGGAGAATAAGGAATACGTCCTGACCTCACAGGAATCCTAAAAAACGGATTTTGGTTTTCACAGCTTGAAGAACATTTCCCCAAAAGTGTAAAGGAGTGAGCTATGGGACAGACGGACTGCACAATGAGACGTCATAATTTTACGAAGTGTGAATTATCTCACATATTGGTAGGTACGAAATGCTGGACTAACTTGTCACTAAGCTTGTGTAAACATTTAGAAGGTGATAAAGGTAAAATAAAAATAAAAGACATCAATAAAGTACAGAGAATGATAGATGTGTGTTGT